CAGGCAGGGTAATGAACTTCTTTAATACATTTTTGTACAATAAAGTATTTTTTATACAAATATATGTGTGATGTTTTTTGTCAGCTGCATTACAGTCCCAAGGGGGTAACTCTTTCTTGAATTTAATACTGGAGGTGAGGAGCCAGATACTCCATCCTTTCTCAAGGTATTATGCAACAAAACTTCTTTCAGAAGCAAAGCTCTTGAGCCCACAGTTCTTTGGAAGGTGTTCCTTTTTGGTTTGTTTAGCATATGTCACATAAATAAAGCCAGGAATATCTTAAAAATTAAAATTTTTCTTACTACTAAAACATATATTTAAATGTCAACTCTACCATCAGTTTAGTTTTGACATTTACAAGAAATAAAAGAAATAAATATAAGAATGCCTAAACATTTTAAATTGCAACAATTTTTGGGTCGAAGTGGTGCATTATCTGACAGAAATGCAAGGGTGCCAGTATTTTAGTCATAATTGTAGATGACTTGTTTCAAAGGTGCAGGCTCCAAAGCCATCATCATGATCTAGCTTCACTCTATATTAAAACACTCTATATTAAGACACTGACCCTGTACAATCATGCAACCAGTAAAGTCTGATATCTCTGAACTATTGTCTTGCATGCTTGGAACAAAGCTAGTCTTTAGAGGGGCAGTGATTTGTAAATTGTAACCTTCAGGGTGCAGTTATGACTCACAAGCACAAAACCTGTACATTACCAGGTATACATAAATGTAGTGGAAATGTCTACACTGACTAAAATTCTACTTTAATGTGAACCTGTCTGATCCTAAGAACTAGGCTGATAATACAGCTGAAATGCAGGCACCTTATGGTGACTCTAAATATTTCTGATAATCTTCAAAAATCACTTTGCCTTAGTGGAGCTCCAGCCTTCTAGCCCCCAAGCTTCTGTCAAAGTCAGCATTGAAGATTAAGTTCACTTTTTTCTTTAAAAAACTATGCTGTCTAGGGACCCCAGTGTGTTAAATATCTCTGTGCACTTTTCAAATAGTTTCCTTCATTTTAATGCCTTTCCAGTAGGCCATGACTGACATCTCAAAACCTACCACAAAAGCTCCCAAGTTCCAGGATGCTCCAAAAGTTATGACACTCATTCGTAGTAATACAGGAGCTAACTTCCTTTCACAATCCAAACCTGTGCACGTGCAGTGATATCTCCCTACTCTAAAGCTGCATCTGGGGATAACAAAGAGCACACTGAGCATTCATGGGTTTGGAAAACAAGTGCTCGCTCCTGTGATGCTGGGAGTGAGCATATAATGTTTGGAGTGTCCAGAAACTTTGGCAGGACACAGCTGATCACTTTATGGAAAGTTTTACTGCTGAGCTATTGGAAATGTCTATCACAGGCTACTGATAAGCCATTAAAAATAAGGGCATTATTTGAAAACTGCACAGCATTTTTAACACACTGGGGCCCCTGAACAGCATAGTGTATTTAATCAAAAGGTGGTCTTGGCCTTTCAAGTGGCCGAGTCACATAATTAAATACTCTCAACCAAGCACAGACCTGCAATATTTACCTCTCCTGCCATCTGCCTCGGTAAATGCTGCTCCAATAGCTAGAAATGGCCCCCTGAAGTCTTCTGGGTAACAACACTTCCTTGAGTGTTGATCTCCTAGGCCACCTGCAGCTCACTGACTTCTCCTGCTGACCTCCATATTGCCAAAGCAGAAAGAAGCATTGACAATAGCATTTTTATCTTCAGCCATTATTTATAGTCACCTTTTGTGATATTATAAGGCACTAGCCAACAGATACAAAAAGCCCCAAAAACAATTACACAAGCTTAGCTTAGCATAATGCAATAAATAATGTTCTGCAACAGGCACACATCCTCACAAGTCTCCGGATGTAGAGTGCTGGCTCCCAGCAGTTGCGTGCACCAAGTAATTTATCCTCAATACTCGCAAAGAGAAGGGGAAGCTGCTTGCTGTTTAAAAGCCTTGTACAAATGTAGTGAATGCTCCGATATAAAGACTGTTCTACTTCGTAACAAACACACCAACACATTTCATGCCATAATAAACTTACTCATAAGCTTAGCTTAGTTGTCTCTTCCTTACAGGTATGTGCTTAGTTGAGAGTATCTGATTATGTAGCAGGGTCACTTTATCTATATCAAAAACTTTTTTGTTGCTTTGTTCTGGTTAAATCAGGGAATGGTTAAAAGTGTTTATTAAAAAAAAGCATTTATACTCACCTAGGTGGATGCAGCATCTATCCAGTGATGCATCTGTCCCCCTCTGGCTCTATAGTGAGAACTGAGCGAGGGTGGCCTGCTCAGGCTCTCAGCAGAGTGACTGAGCCAGGTGCAGGACCAGGTTTCTGGGTTGATTCCAACCATATGGTCAGGATCTATTCAAAAACCTGGACCAGCTGAGTGATTTCAGCTGACAGCGGGCTTTAACCCACTGTCAGCTGATAATGGGTCAAAGGAGTGCAGAACAAGCTGCACTCAAGTGATCCATAGAAGTATAGCCAAAAAAGCTTTGGCTATACTTCTCCTTTAAATCCTTTGTCAAATTCTGCTGTCCATATTCCACTGTAAGCTTTACCCTCTTTTTTCTCCTGGTGACCACTATTACCGGATAGAAAGTAATAGGAAATCACAAACATTATGGCTGTCAATGGAATAAAATGTAAGGAGAAAGCCCACAATGGGGACAACTTTTCCAGTGCCATCAGTCTAGAAGGGAAATTCCCCTCACTTCCTGTTGTGTGAAGGAAAATCTCCCAAGAGGGACACAACAGAAAAAAAAACTCAACAGAAAGCATAAAGCTAAACTTCAGGCATATAAAAAGGCCTGAATGAATGTAACTGTGTAATTATCAACACATCAGCCTTTGGTAATTTACTTTACAGTCTGTACAGCAGAGAGAAAGGCGGGAGCTAGGGGGAAAGCAGCACAAGGAGTAAACAAGGTGTGCTGCTATGCAAGCAAAATGCTGATAAGAGGAAAGAGAAGTCATCAGGGTGCTTCTTCTCCTTTCACTGTCCAGTCCCTGTGCTATAAATATTTTATATTTATTTATTTATTACAGGTACTTATTGTCAGGGCTCCCGGGTATGACCAGAGGTGTGTGACTGACGCAGGGAAACGCAGACTTCAGATATGTTATAAACGATATAATTTATTAACACTAACAATACAAACATAAACGCAGTGCAATACTAAAACATAATACAGTGCAAACAAACCAAACCAACCACCCACAGATAACAGTACATACAATGCAAGCGTCGTCAGGCAGGCCGGGTCAATATCAATCGGGCAGGTAGGTACAGGGGAAGCAAGCGGAGAAATGTCGGGGTCACAAGCCAGGTTCAGCAGGTAGCAGACAGCGAGGTACAGAGGGTCAGGCAGAGGGATGGTCAGGAACGAGCCGGGGTCAGAGCAGGAGAAGTCAGCAGAGGTCAGATCAGGCCGGGTCAGCAACAAGACAGGAACAGGAACAGAAACAGGATGCAGGAACAGGATACAGGGCCCAGGAAAAACACACACCAAGGCAGAGTCTGCAGGTCTGGCCATCCCTTAAATACACCAGCATAAGCAGTTTCAGGTGTTTTGCTGGCTGCAAGGTTGAGTCTCTGATTGCTGGGAGCACCCGCTGGCCAGCCCTGGTACTGCAGCTCATAAGGCAGGTGAGTCCCACCATTGCTGGCCAGTCCATTCCTGACAGTACCCCCCCCTCAAGGAGCGGCCTCAGGACGCTCCAAACAGTCCTAGCTGGGCAAAATGTTCCACCGGCCGGGTCTGGTAACTGGCGGGATATCAAAGACCGGCACATCGGGCTGGACTCCGGGCAGAGGCACATCGGGCTGGACTCCGGGCAGAGGCACATCGGGCTGGACTCCGGGCAGAGGCACATCGGGCTGGACTCCGGGCAGAGGCACATCGGATCACCAGGCGACGCAGCAGGCAGCGGGCCACCAGGCGGAGCAGCAGGCACCGGGCCACCAGGCGGAGCAGCAGGCACCGGGCCACCAGGCGAGCAGCAGGCACCGGGCCACCAGGGAGCAGCAGGCAGGGGCCACCAGGCGGAGCAGCAGGCAGCGGGCCCCCAGGCGGAGCAGCAGGCACCGGGCCACCAGGCGGGAGCGGCAGGCACCGGGCCCCCAGGCGGGCGACAGGCATCCGGGCCCCCAGGCGGGGCGACAGGCACCGGGCCCCAGGCGGGGCGACAGGCATCGGGCCCCCAGGCGGGGTGACAGGCATCGGGCCCCCAGGCGGGGCGACAGGTCTCGGGCCCCCAGGCGGAGCGACAGGTCTCAGGGGCCCCCAGGCGGAGCGACAGGTCTCAGGCCCCCAGGCGGAGCGACAGGTCTCAGGCCCCCAGGCGGAGCGGCGGGCGCCCGGACCCCCAGGCAAAGCGGCGGGCGCCGGACCCCCAGGCAGAGCGACAGGTCTCGGGCCCCCAGGCGGAGCAGCGGGCGCCGGACCCTTAGGCGGAGCGACAGGTCTCAGGCCCCCAGGCGGAGCGGCGGGCGCCGGACTCCCAGGCAGAGCGACAGGTCTCGGGCCCCCAGGCGGAGCGGCGGGCACCGAGTCACCAGGCACGACAGTGGGCTCCGAGTCAACTGGCATGACCGCTGGCACTGGGTCAGACATTGGATCGTCTGGCTGGACAGCGGGCATCGGGTCACCAGGCATCAGGTCATTTGGCTCGACAGCGGGCACCGCGTCATCTGGCAAGGCAGTGGGCTCCGAGTCAACTGGTATGACCGCGGGCACTGGGTCAGATATTGGATCATCTGGCTGGACAGCGGGCATTGGGTCACCAGGCATCAGGTCATTTGGCTTGCCAGCGGGGACAGCATCATCTGGCAAGGCAGTGGGCACCGGGTCACCAGGCATTGGATCGTCTGGCTCGACAGCGGGCATCGGGTCACCAGGTATGACAGCGGGCACTGGGTCACCAGGCATCAGGTCATTTGGCTCGCCAGCGGGCACCGCGTCATCTGGCAAGGCAGTGGGCACCGAGTCACCAGGTACGACAGCGGGCTCTGAGTCAATTGGCATGACCGCTGGCACTAAGTCAGACATTGGATCGTCTGACTGGACAGCGGGCATCGGGTCACCAGGCATCAGGTCATTTGGCTCAACAGCGGGCACCGCGTCATCTGGCAAGACAGTGGGCACCAAGTCACCAGGCACGACAGTGGGCTCTGAGTCAATTGGCACGACAGCGGGCACCGGGTCATCAGGTACCGGATTGTCTGGCTCGACAGCGGGCATCGGGTCACCAGGTATGACAGCGGGCACTGGGTCACCAGGCATCAGGTCATTTGGCTCGCCAGCGGGCACCGCGTCATCTGGCAAGGCAGTGGGCACCGAGTCACCAGGTACAACAGCGGGCTCTGAGTCAATTGGCACGACAGCGGGCACCGGATCAGGTACCGGATCATCTGGATCAACAGCGGGCATCGAGTCAACTGGCCTAATAGGATCATCAGGCTGGATCAGTTCATCATGCAGGGTAGAGGCATCAGGCTGAATGGAGGCATCAGGCTGAGTAGAGGCATCAGGCTGAGTAGAGGCATCAGGCTGAGTAGAGGCATCAGGCTGAGTAGAGGCTTCAGGCTGAGTAGAGGCTTCAGGCTGAGTAGAGGCTTCAGGCTGAGTAGAGGCATCAGGCTGAAGAGAGGCATCAGGCTGAAGAGAGGCATCAGGCTGAAGAGAGGCATCAGGCGGAATAGAGGCATCAGGATGGGTACAGGCATCAGGTTGGGTACAGGCATCAGGCTGGGTACAGGCATCAGGCTGGGTACAGACCTCAGGCTGAAGTGCGGGTGCCGTGGCACCAGGCTGAACCACGGAAGGCAGGTTCTCAGACGGCAGGTTCACTGGTTTGGATATTGGCAGGATGGTACTGGTTGGAAAGAATTTTCGCTTTTTTCTGGTTTTAAACTACTGGAGCACTGCAAGTAAACGCAGGTCTGCAAACGAATGGAGCAGCTGGAGACAGAGAAGAGCTGGAAGATGGAACAGAGAGAGGGAGCAGTTGCTACAGAGGGCTTTTTTACAGGGTTAAAGGCAGGATAGGTGCAGCGAGTGGGAACAGGGTACTGACATGCGGTAGATAGCAGGGCAGGAGGAGCTGTTGGGAATGCAGGAATAGAGCTTTGAGGAAATAGATTAGAAGCAGGACTGGGCCTTTGCAAGCTGACTGAGGCTGGGTGCAACAAATCTGTCCATGTCTGCAGTATGGGTTGAACAAAGCTCAGCTTACACAAAGTCTGTCTGACCAAAGACTGCACTGCGTTTATACAATCTCTTAGTATCTGTGGTGAACAGGCAGAATAACGCTCCAGAAAGTAATCCACATCATCCTCTAATAACCATACCAGGGACTCTACCTGGTCGGCACTAAATGGTGGCAAAAATTCATCCCTGCATTTGGGGGTACCAGATGAAACCAACTCCGCACAAACCTGAATCAATGGCTGCACCTCAGAGAATTCTGTGCCCTGATATACTAGAACATGAGCGAGCCGTATACATTCTAGCAGTTCATCCCGGGATACTCCTTCAGAGTCTGATAAGCATACTCTCTGTCATCAAACACTAGCAGATATAAATACTCAACCTCATAAAGATCCATCCTTCCCATCAACAAACCAAGATGGCTTCCCTGTGCAGCCACTTCTGGTCAGGATTGGCCTTGGTGTAATGTCAGGGCTCCCGGGTATGACCAGAGGTGTGTGACTGACGCAGGGAAACGCAGACTTCAGATATGTTATAAATGATATAATTTATTAACACTAACAATACAAACATAAACGCAGTGCCATAATAAAACATAATACAGTGCAAACAAACCAAACCAACCACCCACAGATAACAGTACATACAATGCAAGCGTCGTCAGGCAGGCCGGGTCAATATCAATCGGGCAGGTAGGTACAGGGGGAGCAAGCGGAGAATGGTCGGGGTCACAAGCCAGGTTCAGCAGGTAGCAGACAGCGAGGTACAGAGGGTCAGGCAGAGGGATGGTCAGGAACGAGCCGGGGTCAGAGCAGGAGAAGTCAGCAGAGGTCAGATCAGGCCGGGTCAGCAACAAGACAGGAACAGGAACAGAAACAGGATGCAGGAACAGGATACAGGGCCCAGGAAAAACACACACCAAGGCAGAGTCTGCAGGTCTGGCCATCCCTTAAATACACCAGCATAAGCAGTTTCAGGTGTTTTGCTGGCTGCAAGGTTGAGTCTCTGATTGCTGGGAGCACCCGCTGGCCAGCCCTGGTACTGCAGCTCATAAGGCAGGTGAGTCCCACCATTGCTGGCCAGTCCATTCCTGACACTTATATAGCACCATCAATTTACACAGTGATTTACATGTATATATATTGTACATTCACATCAGTCCCTAACCCTCAAGGAGTGTACAATCTAAGGTCTCTAACTCACATTCATACATACACATACTAGGGCCAATTTAGACAGGAGCCAATTAACCTACCAGCATGTCTTTGGAGTGTGGGAGGAAACCCACACAGGCACAGGGAAAACATACAAACTCCAGGCAGGCGCTGCCATGGTTTGGATTCGAACTAACGGCCCTAGTACTGCTAGGCAGAAGTGCTAACCACTGCCACTGTATAGTAATTCCCTACATTATCAGAAACTAGAAAAGAAAAATAATTGTTTTGGTTACAGATATGCTTTAATATCTTACATTCCCAGGAATAAGCCTAGCCATTCAAGAGTCCAGTGCAAGAACATCAGTGGCCAAGGTACTGATTGCTGGGTCTTCCAAGAAGAAAAGACTCAATAAACTGGGTCTCAAATCCAAGGTCCATTCCACACAAACAGGTATTGATTAGACGATAATACTAGGCTAAATATAATTAGTCAAGTCAGTTTAGGACCTGAAAGAACTGCATTAAGGTAAAAAAAAACATTTATTGGTAAAAACTGAATTATCAAATTCAAGTTCAAACCTACTGTTTTCACAGAATCACTTGATTACAATGAAGGAATTTTAAATGCCCTGCAAACAAATACAATAATTAGAAAAAAAGGTGTTGCTTGTTATTATCTTTTGCCAATTTAGACAAAATAAGAAACAAAATCCTAACAAATAGAGAAAATGAGAAAGCTCATAGTGTTTCCTGGCGAGAGATGTCAGAGCTGGACTGGAACCAATAATGATGGCTGTGCTTAGGTTGTATAAGCACAAGGTTCATCCCAGTGCCAGAGGCAGCAGCTGTAAGACAAAACGCTGTGGCAAATGTAATTTATTTTTAGAGAACTTCTAAAACCTCAGATAGGCTCCGAAATTCTCAGTGGGAAGATAGTTGCCAGTTTGTAGCAATAAAAAGGTCAGTGTTTAGATGCATGTGAGGCAATTCATTTTGGGAAATTCAAAAGTGAAAAAATTAGGAAGGGTAGATAAACTCACATTGAATACCTAACTAAGAGGCTTCTAAGTTACGCTTTGTGATACATATTTAAAATGATTTATAGAAAAGTTAGCAGATATAAAACATCATTTAATTTAGTTGTATTTAATGTATTCTTAAAAAAAATATATAAATATATTTACGTAAAACTACCAAAAGTCGACTAAAATAGAAAAAAGGAGCTTCCTTGTGTTCACATTGGAGTGCAAAAATTAAATATCTCTTAGCAATTCTAGACAGTAAATACAAATCTAACCAGTACTTCAATCTCATAATAAACACATTGTCTGTTAAATCATTTAGTGGACCTGCATTGTACTTGAAAACATTGAAAGCCCATCCACATTTTGGGAGTCGGGAAAGCACCAGCTGTGGGTGGGGTATAATGTAAGCATTTGTCTACTTACAAAACCCCTCCCCCAGCCTAAAGGAGCATTTTACTTTTACTATCAGAGGGAAAGTGAGTAACACACTGCTGAAAAAGATCTGAAAAGAAAATAACCCCATTCATCATGTGACTTTCCTGAAGATATCTAGAAAAAAAATACACACTTAGGGGGAAGGAGATTCAATGAGCGCCTAGAGATGGATATACTTGTGATATATACAATAAAGAATAAGTTGTAACTTGAATCATTTTCAGAAAACATACTATTGACTGCATGATTTTTTCTTTCCTATATTAGAAAGACTTTCAGCAGCTTCTCTTGTGATTGTAACAAAATCAAAATCTTTGAAGAAGATCAAATGTATAGAGTGGTATTCCAAGTTAAATGGTTATGAGTGGTCTATTAAAACAAGCCCACATCTTCTGGTGGGTTCTTCAAGAGGAAGACCACCCCAAAAAATGCCTAGCCTTAAGAACCGAAGTGTATACATTAGCCCAACAAGGCACACAGGTATCTAGAAGAGGAGAGGCAGATCTTAATGAAACTCTCACCCCTATCTCTGGTGACATCCCTCAGAGACGTAGAGCTATGTGAATCTGCACCAGTCCTCTTCTGGGTTGAATGGCCAGCATCATTCAATCCACTTCCTGTGAGTCCACTGCTCAAGAACTTTCATCTTGAAGGAGTCTCATCAAGATGATCTGAGCTTTCAGGAGAATGCTACAGGAGAATAATGCAGGGCATGGTGCCACTTAAAGTGATTGTAAACCCTTATATTTTTTTAAATAACAAACATGTCATACTTACAACCCCTTCACCACACTGTCCCTAATAAAGACCTGTCAGCGCCATCAGAGGATCTGTCAGGTCAGCCCATCGGTGGATCTGTCAGTAAATCGGTCAGTGCAGCCATCAGTGGACCTGTCAATGCAGCCCATCAATAGATCTGTCAGTTCAGCCATCAGTGGATCTGTCAGTGCAGCCCATCCGTGGATCTGTCAATGCAACCATTAGTGGATCTGTCAGTGCAACCCATCAGTGGATTTGTCATTGCAGCCCATCAGTGCAGCCCATCATGCAGCTATTAGTGGACCTGTCAGTGCAGTCCATCAGTGGTTCTGTCAGTGCAGTCATTAGTGGATCTGTCAGTGCAACCCATCAGTGCATCTGTCAGTGTATCCCATTAGTGGATCTGTCAGTGCAGCACATCAGTGGATCTGTCAATGCAGCCCATTAGTGCAGCCATTAGTGGGCCTGTCAGTGCAGTCCATCAGTGGATCTGTCAGTGCAGCCATCAGTGGACCTGTCAGTTCAGTCCATCAGTGTACCTGTCAGTGCAACCATCAGTGTACCTGTCAATGTAGTCTATCAGTGCAATCATCAGTGTGCCTGTCAGTGCATTCATCAGTGCAGCCTAGCAGTGTACCTGTCACCACAGCCATAAGTGCAGCCTAATCAGTGTACCCATCACAGGGTTGACATCACTGCCACCCATCATCAGTTTACCCATCATGCAGCCACAATCACTAGAGCTGCAATGTCCAAAAAATGTTTTACTAGTTAGGAAGCATTTAAAATTCTCAGTATGATGGATGAGAGCAGTGGGGAGCTTTCACCATCCAATTCGGAATACGAGCCAATAGAAA